AATATGTTTTGATCTCCTCAAAGGCATACTCCTTTAAGCTTTTCTAATCTTCAAAATAAGAATAAAAATTTTGATGGAATCTAGGTTTGTAGCCAACGATTATTTAGCTAATTCATTCATTTGTTGATTCTTTTTTTTTTCTTCTTTTTTTTTTTTGCTTTGTTTTAGTTTTATTGATTAATAATGAAATAGCAAATGGTCCCTTAGAGAAATTTTATATTGAAATTCAAACAGGTGATATTAAAACTATGCTGTTTAAGGAGTTCTGGAAAGAACATATTGACAGACAAAAAAGATTTTTCATCTTAAATCCAATTTTTTTTTTTTTTTCTTCAATGTTGGCATACTTACTGCTCTGCTCTTTCAACTAAAGGAATATGTAAGCAGTGTTACCCACAGGATTTTAAGAGACTGTGGTGGGAGAGTCTCTGACCCTCAGGAGTTTTGCACAATTTTAAGCGTGGTGTATCCCACCTAAAGAGGAATGCCAGGGAGCTGAGGCATTTTTTGCAAGAAATAAGGTTCAAATTTATTCAACGTCCTCAGACGGAGAGATAGGGCTCTGACTGAAGCAACCTTAGTACTTATATTTATACCTTACAAAAATCCCAACACACACACTCCTCCCAGGGGAACCAACCCACCCCCTGCATAAAGAACTTTCTCACACTTGAGCATTTGGAGCAACAACATCTTGAGTTCATCGAGGCTGTTCCCTGTTAGGTTAACATATCTTTCACCTGCCAGATGAATTTTCTCAAAACAGCCGTCCTCCCCTTCATGCCATGAAGGAGGCTGTTTAACTCATTCTTATCTCTCATGACCTTCGTTTGGAGCCTTTGAGGCTAAGAACAGAACATTTTTTAGTCCACAAAATGTTTTCCGCATCATTAGAATAAAATTAGCTGCTGCAGGATTTATCATCGTTTTTCTCAAAATTGTGAGATTGGTGTGAGCTTCAATGTTCTTTCTCTGACAGATTCGTGTCGACGGAAACAACGAGCGCAGCGTGCAGCATTCGNACAGGAATTTGGAGTTAGCTTGTTTATTTACTGATGCATGCCAGAATATCCTGACATCCTGGACATAAAGAGTTTAGCTAATGCTTACAGATTTGCCTGTCTTATAATTTATCGCCTCGTGTTTTAGTTGCGCCCTTTGCAATCCTCCCATATACAGACAGCACGGGCCTCATGGCTGTGGATAATTAACAGCCACCGCACTGTCTAACACAAAACTTAGGATGTATAGAAATTGACGTTGTGTAAAAGTGTGAAGCAATAGCCTGATAAACCAGACTAGATGTGAGATTAAATGTGTAATTTAGTCTGGCCCCGATGAATGAGACATCAGAAGAGCGCAACTGACTGTGACGTAGTAAGAGCAACAGAAAGCTGGTGGGGGAGGGTAAACAAACAGCCTGTCAGTAAAACGGCGAATACGTCCTTCTTATAAATGAATGAGCGTAGAGCCTCTTCCGGCTCACGTTTCAATGAAAACCCCAAGTCTGATCCTTCCAAAACTGATTCCAAAGCTGAGTCAAACCAGGACTATTCAATAGTTGTTGCCATCTTCATGTTGTGCTTTTTCCAGCGTCGTGCAGCTTTGTTGTCACACCCTCAAAACCCCGCCCGCTTTGCATCCAGATATTCAAAACACATCTCTGCGTTGTAATTGGCCCGCCAGTTCTAGGGCATGGGGCATTGATGGAGGCTAGGCAACTCACAGGCAAAAATTTATTTGACCGCTGGCGGGTGGGGCTAGTTCTTTTCTGAATAATTTTCTAATCTCAACAACGTCTCGGCTCAGATGTGGAGCTAGAAGTTCAAGCGTTGGGAGTTACATTAGCAAGTTCTTAATAAGAATCCATCCTTCTCTGACTGAAACACCTGCTTATGTCCTCTCTTTCCCCTTGGGGAGGTAACTGTAGATACGGCTGTTAGCTGCTTCTCAAGATAGTTTTTCACTGAACAACCAAATAACCCAACCAAATATGGGAACAAAGTAAAACCTCCATCTCAAAATGTTCCAAGAACAGAAAAGAGCTTAGGATCCTTAGGAAACTCAAATAAGCTGATGCCATCCTTATTTCAGCTGTTGTTAGTGATGAGAGGGAAATGTTTGTTGC